AATCACTGACGCTAATAATAGCAATGGCCCAAACACTGACACTATAATAGCAATGGCCCAAACACTGACGCTATAATAGCAATGCCCCAATCACTGACACTATAATAGCAATGCCCCAAACACTGAAGCTCTAATAGCAATGTCCCAATCACTGACACTATAATAGCAATGTCCTAATCACCGACGCTATAATAGCAATGGCCCAATCACTGACGCCATGATAGCAATGTCCCAATCACTGACGCTCAAAATAGCAATGGCCCAATCACTGAACTATAATAGCAATGTCCCAATTACTGACACTATAATAGCTTGTCATACCTTTTCGTATTCCCGTGTTCCTACGTTCGCGACAATCTTCTGCAAGCCTACAAACAGCATATCCTGTATGTGGATAAGGTTCCGACGAAAGGTGTATTTTTGTATCTACTCGATCGATGGTTCAAAAACAGAGCTTGTATATTATAATACCAGGCTCATGATATTCGGTACGAATCAGCTCAAAAAAAAACACGTTGTGGATATATAGCTGACGATTTGTAGTATGAAGCACATGACATCAGGACAGATCAGTTGAAAACACTATACAGACGAGAAGCTAGGCATACCTCACTCGCCGAATGCAGACTGCTTGCGGCATCATCCATTCCGCGTAGCGATCTTCTGGTGGGCGCTGTAGTAAGGGAGAAAGAAGGCATAAGCACACAGCATGATATACAAGGAAATGGTATATATATACACACACAACACACACACACACACACACACATATATATATATATATAAATATACTTATATATATATTGTTGGCAAGATAAGATATATTGACTCCCCATTGATTTCATATTAAAATCAATAGGCAAGATATACTTATAAATTAAAAACAATCACTAACTGATACTAAAAAATAAGTGCTATCACGAATACCGTGTGCAGAGACACTGTCGACCCCAACACACTCACTCACACCCACCATCTACCTCGACACCTCTCCCTATTCCAAACCCCTAACCCCACCCTCACACATACCCAATTTGCTCAGTTGTGTGTGCGATCCCACCGCCGACATGACACTCAGTCGACTGCCGAACTCACCCGACGCGCTTCTGAGCGCGCCAGACGACCCACTCATTCCCCCCTTGCCGGAATAGTCGCCGCCGGCTTCCGCGTGCAGATTGGCTAAGTTCTGTGAGTACGTCACAGTCAGCTCGTTGCTGCGCTCGGACGGCGGCGGTGGGGGCAGGTTGGTCTGACCATCCGGGAAGTACGACGAGAAGGGACGTGCGGATGTGGACTGTGTGGGAGAGGGTACCGCGTTGTGGGTCAGTGATTTGATGACGTAGTGGATGTAGATTAGTTGGCATCGGTTTGTATGCCTGGTAACTAGTCATGTGTTGCATGTTCAATGTGTAGGTCTGTGTTAGTAACGTTTTGCATGCATGTAAACTAGTAATGTACTGAATGTTAATATGCGAGTCTGTTGGTAGTACCGTTTTGCATGCATGTAAACTAGTAATGTACTGAATCTTAATATGTGGGTCAGTTGGTAGTAACGTTTTGATAGCATATAAACTCGAAATGTATTTGGATGCTTGATATGCAGGTCAGTTGTTGACGTTGTACGTATGTAGACTGAAAACGTGGATGCAGACATGCCAGAAACGTGTTGAATGCTTAATATAACTGGACATGTATTATATGTATATAATTATACGTATGTAGGTTAGTTATTTACATATTGTGCGCATGTAGATTTTAAACGCCTTGAATGTAGACAGCATAGTCACGCATCCGGTATGTGAGTTGAGGGCAAAACCAGGGACACGAAGAACACACACGAACGGGTGAATCTTTAGAGCTTTCGGTGTGTGGCGTGCCTGTTTTCCAACTAACATTCAACATCACAACCTAGCCTACGAATTGACGGGACAAGATAAATACAGTCAAATCTCATGACGAACACGATATCAGTACGCGCCGTATGCGAGTTACATTCTAAAATTAGAGCTACCTACCGATTGGCTAAACCCCTCTGAGCGCCGCTTAAACGACTGCGGCCGTGCGTCGTTAATATTCTCTCGCGGCGACGCAATCGGCGCGATCAGATTTTGCGGCTGGATGCGATTGGAATCCACATGTTCTCTACTATGCCTGGGACTCAGCGTCGCCAGTTGTGGCGTGTGCTGCGTGCTGGCCGTAGCGCCCCTGGGCTTGGCCTGAGGCCTGGGCGCTGCCACCAGCGTGCTGTCTGGTCTGGCTGCCACCCGTGGCGCTGGCTTCAGCGCTCCATTGGCGTCGTAGCTCGGCATATTCACCAGCGTCGATTGCCTCGGCGGCGCGGTAAACAGCAGCTCTGGCGCTGACGCCACATCCGCCTGCGCGTGTGGCTGGTGCTGTAAGTGCGCATACTGCTGTAGCTGTGTGGTGCTGCCGCTGTGGTGTGGCTGCGGCGGCGCTGGTGCGTGCGACTGCGACTGCACGCGCGGGCGCGGCTGTACGTGGGATTGGGCGTGCCCCATGGCACGCTGTGGCGCGTTGCGCTGGCCGTTGAATTGATCGTGGTGCTGCTGGTCGCCACCGCCGTGGGAATGGGTCATGGAGGTCTGGGAGTGTACGTTGTTGTTATTGTTGTTATTGTTGTTGTTGTTTTGCGATGATGTTCGGACTATGGGGTTGGCGATCTCGTTTCGTCGTATCCGGGGCCCGGCTTCAGGGTTGTACATGTCTTCAATCGCGTCTGTGCGGGTTCGTATGTAGTGTTAAACAAACAAGGAGGATGAGAACTCTGTTCAGGACTTAAGGTCACACAAGCAATATGATGGAAAACCACTCAGAAAAAAAAAGGGAAAAAAAGGTACTTTCCTCTACTACGATGACTCAATCTGTGGTAAGCCCAAGAAGCTACCTACCGCCGCCAAGCGTCACAGCACAAAACACTTGACACGCTCGCGATTGCTACCACACAAGTTTGGGAAGTAGAATAGCTATTATACTGGGAACGACACAGACACTGACTCCAATTTTTGGAAGGAAGACGCTGGCATGCAAGTTGGGAGAATAACCACCCACTGACATGCATAGTAGGACAAACACTGCTGACTACGCACACACTGTCACGGCAGTTGGTGTGAACACACTGGGAAGGCAGTTGGTTGGTGTGAACACACATACTATAAATAATAGCAGCGCACGAGACATACCCATCGTATCTAGGTGCCACAACCGATCGACAGACATCACCAAATCACAGCATTCGCTAGTTAAGTCCCGCGCCATGGCGATTTCCTCGGCCGTATCCGTTCTCAAACTCTTTGTTACTAATTTAGCGGATAAGGTGGCACACAGCGCTTGTATGGTGGCTGCGAGGATGGCTGATGAGGGCAGCAGATGGGTTTATTTGACCAGATACACCTTTAGGGAAACATATGTCGATATGCGATGTCTGTATAGGTGTGAATGTACCTATCTAGTGTAGAAGATTGAATTCGAATATAGGTATGTATATATATATACTTTATATATACGTTCGTCGGCTAGATCAATCAGTCGCCTCAAGCCCTGTAATATACGTAGCTTGGGTGATGTCCTGCAGTATGAATGCCGGCCTTCCTGAACAAATTGATGCGTACTATGGAAACATCCATTCTTGCGCATGCACACGCACGAACATATATTGATTCTCAAACTTAATCTTGGCCATGTCACTTTCGTCGTGCAATCCAATAAACAGCCACCACATTCCCCATCTAAACACAACAACACGACACGCATATCCATGCACACACGCACACGCGCATACTCAAGCGCCCATCTACACACTCACAGCGGCACGTGTCTTTGACTATACTGTGCTTTTGATGCAGTCTCAAGAAATGAGAAAAGACCGTGTGATTGCCACAGTTTCATCCACACGCATGGTACGTGTATGTATCAATACATGTGACACAACTTTCAACACACATAAGCACAAATCCAAACGCTCACACATACACACATACACATCACTACAAATGCACATACTTCTGACTATGCCGTGTTCTTCATGCAAATCCAAGGGAACAGACGTGATTTTCTCGTTGCCGGCTACTCGGTCGAACAGTGTAGAGAAGGACCGCGAGAAAGCGCCACGCAGTCCTCCTAAGATGGAGTCTCCTATAGATGTTCACGGCAAGAATATACGTACTTGAATATATATATATATATATATATATCTATGTATATAGGTGTATGCGTTAGAATCTCAAACAACAGGACTTTTCATTCTGTCTGCGTGCCTATTCTTGAGTAGATACCATGGCCAGTCTTTGCGAGTATACGAGCCCATACGATCAGGGTTATCCATGGACCGTGATCCTTGCACCAAACGTACACAGACCACTGGATACATATGTCTGTTAAGAATTCCCGTGCCTATGTGGTGCAGCGTAGCTTACAATCGTACACGGGCAGCATGACAACCACTTCGAGGGATGTAAGCTTTTCGCTGACACGAGATGCATGCAAGGTGCACTGGTCGATGATTTTGAGGATAACTTCTGATCTTAGCAACGATAAGGGATCTAGGGTTTCTATTTAACAATTTCATTAATATGCTACAAGATATCTGGCAGTACAGACATGGGGTATAAGATAAAACTATGAGAGTAGTGGCATTGAGTACAAAATTAGTTTTAGTACAAGTATTGCCTAAGTAAAGTTTATATCTGAGGCAGTGGTAATGAGGACTCGGGTTCGAAAACAATTTTAGGTTCACGTGGCAAAATACGAGAGTGGATGTTCACACGTTCTATGCGTGAGTATATAATGTACTTAATCGACTCTCCCAGATGAGGAATCGCTGAGCTCACACAAGCGAGCGGATAAATGAAGCATGTAACATGGATGAATGGGAATTGATATATGAATATGGAAGGGTATAAAATATAAATAAAATGGGAAATCATATATGCACATGTAAGGATATAAAACACAATTAAAATGGGATTGATATATGAATACGGAAGGATATAAAGCATATATAAATGTAAATTTATTTATGAATATGGAAGAATATAAAACAGTTAAATGTGAATTCATATATGAATATGGGAGGATATAAAACATAATAAATAGGAAATCATATAATAATATTGAAGGATATTAAACATAGAAAAATGGGAATTCATATAAGAATATGGAAGAGTATAAAACATAGATATATGGGAATTCATATATGAATATAGAAGGATATAAGACGTAATAAAATGGAAATTCATATAGGAAGAAGGAAGGTTTCAAAACATAGAGAAATGGGAATTCAAATATGAATATAGAAGGATATAAAACATAAATAAATGGGATCACATATATGAATATGGAAGGATATAAATTATAAATAAATGGGAATTCATATACGAATATGGAAGGATATTAAACATAAATAAAGGAGAATTCATATATGAATATGGAAGGATATAAAACATAGATAGATGTTAATTCATATGTGATTATGGAAGGTAATAAAATATAAACAAAAGGGAATATACCCATATATACGCCAATAACCGGCAATGGACATCACATATAAAACGTGAACATACAGGCAATCATTTCAAAAAAAAGAAGGAAAAAAACGAGACGGGGCGGTGAGGGGTAATTACATGGAATGGCAAGACATCACGCATACACCACACTTCACACACATACTTGAACCATTCTGCTCCTTCGAGTCCTGTAAACTGACATGGCGCACTTCATTTGACATCACGTTGTCCAGGTCAGCAGACCTCCTCCTCAAAGACGAGTCTTCTTCAGGCTTTGCACAGTCCGTGGCTGATGGCAGATTATTGTCGTGCGTCGTTTGGCTGTGCGTAGATAATAGCAGATAGGTGTCAATATATATATATATATATATACCTACGTATGTACATACATACATACACACAAACCTATATACATACAGATACACACACACACACACACACATTATATATATATATATATATGGTGTGTGTGTGTGTGTGTGTGTGTATGTGCGTGTGTGCGTGCGTGCGTGTGTGAGTGTGTACGTATCAACGGCATTGTGAATATAATAAAAATAAAAATGCCCACTGGTCGGGCAGATGGCAGACCAATGTGATGCGACGCTTAGTTGTGCAGAGATATACGGCACGACACGGAAGACATATACAAAGTCATAGAATCTCATAGAGTAAACAGCTTAAAAAAACAATATACATTCGCATAGAGCACGACAACATACAAGGACATCCGTTTCCAGAGATTATTGCCCCTCTCGGAGAGGGGTTGCCTGTTGTCTGGATCGTCGTGTAATCTGTCCGGATTTGAGTTAAGTGTCAGATACAATGCGATGGCAAAGTTGTACTCAGACATATAGAACCGTGAACACAACCTCTAAAACCCTATTAATCAAAACAGGTAGAAACGACACGGCTACAGCGCGTACTGGCTTTCATAATCGGAACTAGCTAAGCTTTGTATAAAACAATTCTCTGAACCAGTCTCTAGATATGAGAATGAACGTGTTGATGGCTTGGTTTGTTTGTAAGCTGAACCTTTCAATATTGAAATAACTTCTACAGTGATGAGGCAGTGCTGCAAATGGAACATGCCTCGAGCGTGCGTCTGCCGACTCATACGCCCAGAGCCAAATTAACCCACAAGTAGCAGTTTTAGAATGGATTAGTTTGAGGCCATAGTACGGCATATATAATGAAACGATACTTCAATATATATACGTTTAAATGTAAGTGTATGAGAATAGCTTGTTCGTGCATACGAGTGCTACCCGTGCTAGAATACATACCGTTGGCAAACATATACCCTTCATCTATGCTATAACAGCTTATGTTATTCTCACCAACACCATGTGGGCCTACCTCAAACAGATTCTGCATTTATACTGGTTTAAAATCAAAACCCACTCCACCACTCTAATTCCGGATCCACCCACCCTAATGTACACCCATCTTCGTCTACTCACACCACGCCTACCTCGGATTGGTCACGTAAGCGGGGGCGCCGTCGCTGAGCAAGTCCAGCAGAGCCGTCCTGACCTTGTCCAACCAGGGCAGGCGCTCAGCACCCGCCCGCTGCGACAGTAGCTTGGTGTACTGTTCTAGGGCCAGCACACTCTGGAAGCGACTGCTGATGCCAGAAACAGCGGCGCAGTCCTGCAACAGCGAGAACAGCATCGGCGGCACATAGGTGAGACTGCGTTTGACCTGGTCTTGCAGTATGTGCTGCAGCAGACACCCGTACGCTCTGTGAGGGGAGGAGATAGGGGAAAGGGGGGAGTATGTGAATGGACGAGAGGGTTTACGCTGATATTTGTGCGGTTGCGATGGTCGATATGAAAAGTGCTGGAGCATGCTTGTTCGTGAGTGGCCAACGTATAGATGTGCGTATGTAACCCTCACTCGATGCCTGGTCTTGGGAGTACGCGTTAGAACAGACACATGTATGCTATGATCCAGGGTGGATAAAGAATCTAGTAGGTAGGATAGAGAGTTGAATTATACTAAATGCAGGTGTGTTCGTGATAGGCAATAAGAAAGTGCGTATATAAACCAGACGCACTAACCCATGTGCATACAAACGTACTAGCACAAAATTGAACACGGGCGCAGACTGATATATTTTAGTAGCAGTTCCCCTGACCAGAATTGGACGATGGCAGGATGAAGCGTCACAACAGACAACACACTAACACAAAAACTAAACGTGCAAATCTATGTTGTAAATCTATAAAACAAATAAAATACGTGTATACTCATACTACGCTGCAGTAGGGCGTAGACTTGCGTATGTATGATAAGTGATATTGTTCTAATAACTAAAAGCGCTATATAATTTTGTGTTCGTCATCGAAGCACGTCGTTAACAAACGAATGCATGCATCAGACACGCAATAGTGATGTACATATGTGTGTTTGAACTGACAAGTTTATGAAAAATCAATACAAATGAGTTTATGCGTGCGTTTAAAGAACCAAATTCAGGTGGAATGGTGTAGACATACAATAACATACGAACATTCACGAACAGGGACCGTGATTCGCAGCATCTTCAATGTCGATATAAACATACGCAACAGTTTTTAAACTTTAAAACTATAATATAGCAATAAAAACTTCGACATATACACACTAAAAAGGCGTGACCAAGGCAATAATTTCTCTAACTAACAGTTACAAACGTATCTGCCGGTTTTCCAGATCAATAATATTCAGCAGTTTCATTTGGTATGTTGCACATGCTGAAAATTTAGTTGGTAATATATACTTCTATATAATTCCATATATAAACATCATATACAATTACATACATATATATATATACATACACATACACACACACACACACACATATACATACACAGAGAGAGAGACAGAGAGACAGAGACAGAGACAGAAACACACACACACATATATATATATATATATATATTCATATACATAATATATATATAAACATGTA